CGGGGAGGGCAGGCCCGCTAACGTGAGCCGCCCGCCTCCCGGCCCAGGCCTCCGCCTCCTGGTTCCGCAGCCCCGCAGCCCTGCCCCCTGCCCGGAACAGTGAGAAGCTGAGCTTGAGGCAGCCCGGCAGCGGGTGCGGCCACCTGGCCACCTGGCCACCTGCACGGCTGGGCTGGGTCCCCAGGGCTCCCAGGGAATGGGGTCCTGGACCAAGGCCGCTACCACCGCCTTCCTGTCCCCACCCCACCGTTGTCCCCCCTACTGCCCCCCCCCGCCGTCCAGCCGGCCTTCAGCACATTCCACGCGGCCACAAACTGCCAGGAATGCAGCTGCTGCCTCCCTGCTAAATCGGGACCAGCTGTTCCCAGAGGTCTAGAGCCCCCCCACCCCCCAGCCAGCAGGAAATCCAGTGACTGCTCAGGGACCGCCAGCCGCCAGGGGTAAACGGAGGCACCCAGGGCCAGGCAGGGGCCTCCAGAGGTCTCCAGGTCCTCTTAAGTAGCCCGGACGCGGACAGGGCGTGGGTGTGCGGCCCCAGGGACCCAGCGGGCCTGCCCCCGCCCTGCCCGTCCGTCCGTCCTCCAGCCCCGCAGGCCACGGCCGGTGGCAGGGAGCCTCCCGACCTCCGCGTCCCAGACGGAGCAGGTCTCAGCTCGCCCCAGCCCACCCCGCGCGTCTGCGGAAGCCGCCTGCGCCCCGGCTGGGGTGCCACCCACTTCCTGCTGCCCCGCGGGAGACGCAGGGGGCTGCCCGCCAGGACAGGTGGCCCTCAGAGGCAGCCGGCCGTGGCGGGCGTCCCGACTCTGCCCCCCGCAGGCTGTGTGGCCCTGGGCAGCTGTGACATCTCTGCGCCCCGTGAACACACCGTGGGGCTCTTAGACTTCCCTGCTGTCGGGCGGGGCGGCCCCCCAGTCCCCGAGCCGCCAGCCGGCGGGTAAACGTTCACCCCACGCAATTATCGCTGGCGTGGAGGAGAGCGTGTTGACGGAAGGTTCTGGAGCTTGCCGGGCGACCCAGCTGTGGTTCCCCAGCCTCAGCCTCTCTCTTCCGTCAGAAGGGGTGGAGGGGGGCTCCCGGGAGCTCAGAGGCCCCGCACGTCCCTCCTGTGCATGATCCCGGGGGCGGGGGCAGTGGCCTGTCCCCCCGCAGGGCTCTGCCCTCCACAGGCCCAGGCAGGCTCCTGGGGGCCACATTCCGGTGGCGGCGTCTGCCCCGCAGGGATGACGGGGGGGGGGGGGAGGGACAGGGGGGGGCTGGAAGGGCGGCGAGCCACCGGCCCAGGGCGTGTCCGGGGGTCTGGGGCCACCCCGCCGCCTGCCCTCGGAGGGACCTGCTGTGTGACCCCCGCAGGGCCGGCCCCTCTCGGCCAGGTCAACGGGGCTCTCGCAGCCCCTCCGGGGGTTCCAGGTTAGAAACCCTGCGCTGTGGGATGACCCTGGGGCAGGCAGGGGACCCCCGGAGACCCCGCTCAGGTCGGGTGAGGACACAGGGCGAGCCCCCTCCAGCCTCCCCCTGGGCCGCGCCCGCAGGTGCCGGAGGTGGACCTTGGGGCGCCCCTCTGCCTTGGGCTCCCCAAGCGCGCGGAGCCGGGGGGACCCTGCACAGCCGAGCGCCCCGGGGGCGCGCCCTCACTCACCCGGTTCTTGACCTCGGCCGACAGCCCGTACGAGGGCCCCTTGTTGAACTGCGTCGAGCTCATGGCCGGCGGGACGGGACGGGCCGGGCCGGGCTGCGGCTGGGACGGGGCTCGGCGGGGCTCGGGGCGGGCGCCACGCCCCCGCCGCTCATTGGGCCGCGCGCTCTTGCCCTTATAAGGCCGCGCCGCGCCGGATTCCTGCCGCCCGACTTCCTGAGCCCCTCGCCGCGACCCCCGCCCCGCCCGGCCCGGCCCGCCTCACCCCTGCGCCCCTGCGCGCCGCGATGGGGGAGGACACACTGTCGGGCGGGTCTCTGACCACCCCCGCCGGGGCGCGGAGGAGGACCCCTCGGGTCCCCCCTTGCCGGGAGCTCGCACAGCGCGGTGGTGGCCCGCAGCCAGGGGCCTTGGCGCTGGGGCTGCGGCGGGTGAGTAGGAGTTCGCCAGCCCACAAGCACAGCGTTCCTGGCAGAACCAAAGGTGCGAAGACCTGAAGACACTGTCGGTGGCTCAAAGCACGTGGAGGTCACAGGGGCTGGGACAGGCCGCGGCGGGAGTGTCCCCCTTCCCCCCTCCCCCTGGGTGGGGGTTTGGGAACGGGAGCGACTAGAAGGGACACTGGAGGTCAAGGGGTGTCCTGGGGCTGAGGCTGCCCAGGGTCCCGGGCCAGGCACACACTTGGTGCTCACTTGGTGCTCAACGCAGCGGGCTTGTACAGATACAAGAATGAATGAATGAATGAATGAATGAATTCACTTAGTAACTCACTCACTCATCCATCCATGCCCACGACTCCCCCTCCGATGCTTCCCCACGCGGCTTCTGGACCCGTCCATTGCCAGGCGGGTTCACAGGAGACCTCAGGTGCGGCCCCGCGGGTCCCCGGAAACACGGGGCTGGGCGCGGACTCCCACGCGTGCCCCGGGAGCACGTGCAGGACAGAGGAGAGCCTGAGGAGGGCGCAGGGAGCGGAGGGCAGCGGCAGCGGCAGCGGGGGGTCCCCGGGAGGGGGCACGGGAGCTGGGGTTTTAAAGCAGGTGTAGGAGTCTGGCCCCTGCCCAGCGGCTGCTGGCCCTGTGAGGGCTCCAGGCCACTCTCCCTGCCCCCTCCCCGGCCGCGCACCTCCTGGTCCCCTGGTCCTCCCTGGTCCCCCTCCCCAGGTACCCACAGGGTCTCTGCCTGGCATCCTCTGTGGGTGGGCCTTGGGCCTCAGTTTCCTTATCTGCAGAAGGGGAGCCAGTGCATTGCGGGGGGTCACGGATGAGGCGGCGCGGCTCTCAGTGGGGAACACCCCGGCCGCTGCCGTCCAGGTGGGGGGCGCCGTGACATGGGGGCCCCCGGGACAGGTCCTGCAGGGTGCGGGTGTCAGGGGGAGCCGTGCCCAGCAGAGGCGGTGGCGGTGGTGCCTGAACCTGCGCCCTGCGCCCCTGCCACAGCTTGCGGGGCCCTGGGTGTCCTCGGCCTGGCCAGCCACCTGACTCTAGGGACACTCAGGATGCGGAGGAGAGGATGCGATGTCCCGAGGCCCCGGTCCCAGCAGCCCTCCCAGCGCGCTGTCCGCCGGGCGGCGAAGGCCTCCTTCCGTTAGGCCCGTTCACCCCGACTTAAGATGACCTTTGTCGGATCCCAGAGCGGCGTGGACCGGCCTGGGCAGGCGTGGGGGTTCCTGCTCGGGTAGGTTGTCCCGGTGTGGGTGCGCGGTGCACGGTGCAGGGTGCGGGGTCTGTCCGGGGGAGGCTGGGACGCAGTGTTTGCCGGTGGCCGGTCCCTGCCGCTCGGGCCGCCACCGTCCTCTTTCACTCCTTGCGATGGGCCTAAAGCTTAAGGCCGCGTGTGTGCTCAGCCTCCCGTTTCTGTGGCCGCGGCCTCCTCTGGATCCTGGGCCAGGTCCGGATTCCAGAATCTTTTTTTTCTTTTGGTATGACCCTTGCCCTCACGATGTTTTATACATTTTTAGGCGGTTGAAAACAATCCTCTCGTGCAGCACGCGGAACCACGTAATATTAAAGTTTTGTCATCCCCCCCCCCCTCCGGCGTCCGGTCATTCACGGCCGCGCGTGTTACCGTGGTGCGTGGTGCGCGGACACTCCCTGGGCTCCGAGGCCGAGAATACCGGCTTTTTCGGCTTTTTTTTAACAGAAGATCGTTTGCCGGCCTGGGTTCCGGACACTCAGCCTCCCGGCACCCGAGAAATCCAGACTCAGACATCCCAAAACTCAAAACTCAAAACCCCGGGATCCGGAAGCTTAGGATATTGTAATTTTCGAAACTGGCCACATAACTCCGTGGGAGTCCTTGCCCTGAGCGCCCCCACTTGGAGCCCGGGTTCAAGTCCCGACGCCCCACCTGGCCGGGCGACCTTATGGGGCGGGGACACCTGGCTCCCGGGGCCTCCTGTCCTTCTGGAAGGCCCCTCAGCGCCCTTAGATGTGCCGTCAGCGCGGAACAGGTTAAGCCGTGTGACGCAGTCGAGCAGCCAACTTGACATAAGGGTGTCGAGTCTACACGTGTTCGTATGTCAGGAATCTGGGCTTCGGGTGGGAACCCGGCAAGGGGGCCTGGGGAGGTCACTGGCTGCCTTCCGCCCTGACCCCGGGGGACCCGCTCCTCCGTGCAGGACTGACCCCTGGGGGGCCGCAGGGGGTGTCACATGATGCAGGGCTGGGGGGGTCCCCTAGGGCGTCGGGTGGGACCTGGGTGATGCCCGCGGGGCGGGAGGCCACAGCTGGAGGGTCCCCGGCGCTGGGTTGGGGGGGGGGGCTGCAGTGCAGCAAGGGCCCTGGGCCCCCTCCCCTCACTGTGGGGCCCCGGGGGTCAGCGCAGGACCCCAGCTGGGCTCCCCTGGGGGGCCTTGGTGCCTCCGGGGTGGGCTCCCCTCGCCTGCCCGGCGCCAGGCCTCGCTCGCGTGGCCAAAAATATGGAACGCTTCACGAATTTGCGTGTCATCCTTGCGCAGGGGCCATGCTAATCTTCTCTGTATCATTCCAATTTTAGTATATGTGCTGCCGAAGCGAGCACGAACCTGCGGTGTCGCGCACGGCTATTTAAAGCCCAAAAATGAAATGACTTTACAGTTAGGCCCACCCTGTGTATCCGCGCTCGCCGCGATCTTCCCACACCTCCATGTGAGTGAGTATCTCCTGGTGTCGTGCTTGCTTTGGGTGTCTCTGGCCGCGCCCGAACCCTCAAATGTGGACTCATGCGATCCCCCAAGAAGGGCTTGGCAGCCGCGAAGGCTTCTGGGGGATGATATGCAAAACACCCGGACCGGACGCAGCCCCGCCCCTGTCCCGGAGAGAGGGCGGGGCCGCCGTGGGCGGCCGCCGGCATCCCAGCGTTCCCCGCGGGCGCAGGGGAGCCGCTCTTGCCGGCGCGGCGACTCGCTGGCGTCAGCAGAGGCCGCGGAGGCGGAAGATGGCGGCGGCGGCGGCGACCGGGCGTCGGTGAGCAGCGCGGCCACGGCGAGGACGGCCGATGGCGGCCGGGAGGCGCCCTCGGGGACCCGCGGGCCGTTAGGGCGCGACGCTGGGCGGCATGTCGGAGCACGCGGCGCCCGGGGCCCCGGGGCCCGGGCCCAACGGCGGCGGCGGCGGCGGCGGCGGCCCGGTCCCCGCGCGCGGGCCTCGCACCCCCAACCTCAACCCCAACCCTCTCATCAACGTGCGCGACCGGCTCTTCCACGCGCTCTTCTTCAAGATGGCTGTCACCTACTCGCGGCTCTTCCCACCCGCCTTCCGCCGTCTCTTCGAGTTTTTCGTGCTGCTCAAGGTGACCGAGACCCCTGACCCCTGACCCCAGCGGCCGGACCCCTCTCCCGGGTCTGCGACCTCTGACCCCGCCCCCGCCGAGGCGGCGGCCCCTCCCGCTCCGGGCCCTTTAACCTTGCGATCGGAGGCCGCTGCCCCCGCGCTGTCCGCCGCGCCCCGGCCTCCCCTCCGGCCGCGCGACCCGGGGCCAGATCTTGGGTTTCCCCGAGCCCCGGGGCTTCCTCCCTGCCAGGGCGCGCCCCGTGCCCCCCTCGGTGCGCTGGAAGCCACTCCCCGTTCCGCCTTCACCTGCGCCTAGTCCCGGGCTCCCACCCCGCCCCCTCGGCTTAGACCCTCGGGAGCGTGACCTAGGGCAGGACGCCGGGCCAGGGCGCAGCCAGCTCTGCTGCCTTAGCAGGCGGCCTGTCCGAGCCTCGCCGCTCGGGGGGGGGGGGGGGGGGCTGGCCCCGGCCTAGGTCCTGGGGAGGGGCCTCAGGGAAGGTTCTGGGTTCCTGAGCAGAGTGGTGGTCCCCGCTTGGGCAGCCGCCCACTTCGTCTCCATCAGTGCTGCGGCACTAGGGCTGGGGATGCTGAGATGCCCGGTGGTGACCTTTGGGCCCCTTGTCTGCAGAGGGGGCTGAAGCTGGCGTTCAGGGCACTGGGAGTCCTGGCCAGACCAGGTTGTCAGGAGCCGGTGGCACTTTGGGGTCTGGTGGACGGAGTCACAGCCACCCCACAGCGCGGGCTGCCGGTCTACGGGAAGTCCCCTGGCCTGCGAGACTGCCTGATGCTGCGCGGAGCCCCCAGAGCATCCCCAGCCCCCGAGTGGGCGATGCCTCCGGTGGAGGGGGCACTGCCTTCCGCAGAGGATCAGGAGCTCGCCCCCCCCCCCCCCAGAGCAGGTCCTGGTCGCCTCCATTCTGCCTCGCCGCCTCCTGACTTGGGAGCAGATGGTGTGTTTGGGCCAACCCGGCGTACAGCCGTCCCTGGTGTCGTAGTCAGGTGTTCTGGCGGCTCTCATGTCCTCACCAGGATCTGTGGGGTAAAGCCTGGAGGCCTCGTGTACCTCGTGCATCCGCGCGACCCCTGGTGCCGCTTGCGTCGCTCCTCTGCACAGTGCAGGCTGGGACCTGCCGATTTGTGAGGTGACTGCAAGTTCCGGAAAGCTCCACGCCTTTGCTTCCTGCCTGCCCAGTTTCCGAGTTCAGTGCGGAGATCGAGGTCCCTTCGTGGACTTCCTCACGGCTGCCTCTTCCTGTGCTGCCTGTTAAGCTAAGCTCGCAGCCAGGAGCCAGCCCAGCCCCCCAGGGCCCCCAGGGCCGTGAGAGGCAGTGGCTGGGGCCCGGGTTCTGGCAGCCTTGGCTCCCGCCTCTCCTGGTTTTCCTGGCATCGAGGGCGGACCAGGACCTCCGAGCCATGGAGCAGCCGCACTAGGTGCACCAACCTGTCCAGTTGGACTCAGAACCGTGGACAGCTAGACCCTGCAGCTGCTGAGCGATGCCTGTAGGGTAAGGGGGGCTCTGACATTCAGTGCCTTCGGCACTTCCCCCGCTCTGAAGAGTGGAGGTGACCCTCGGGGTCACTGTGAAGTGTGTTAGGTGTGTGAGGGCCCCAGGGTCCTTGCTGTGAATGGGAGTCCGTGAACACCTCCTCTGTGCCACAGCACAGAGGGCAGAGCAGGAGTGGCCAGGTGGGGCAGGGTCTGTGTGAGATCAGCAGCCTCAGGCCTCGGGAGACAGCAGAGAAGCAGGTGCAAAGGCACTGGGGCTGGCAGGTCAGCAAGGCCAGTGGGGCTGGAGGCATGGGGTCGCATGGGGCAGTAGAGATTGAGGGGTTGCAGGTACCCATGCAGGGCTGGCTGCTGCCTGGCCTGGACAGGTACGGGTGTCGTAGGTCTCTGGAGGCACCAAAGCTGTGTCTGTCTCCCTGTTCCTAATGGGGAAACTGAGGGAAGACCAAGGAAGGCCTTGTCAGGTAGGGTGGGCGCTCCTGGCCCTGTCTCTAGGGACCTCTCTGCTTAGTCGAGGGCAATAGACCTGGGGCTTTCAGGCAGGAGGAAGAAGCTGGTGTGGAGACCCCCTCGCGGAGCTGCTGGAGAGGGCACCAAGGTGACACTGCGGCCCTGGAGGCCCCTCAGGGGGATCACACACATTGGCGCCACCAGCCCCCCTCAGTTCTGTGAGCTTCCTCGGTAGGATAGGTCGCTCACACTGTACTCGGTCGTTTGGAGGTGTGTCCTGTGCTGTCCTCTCCCTCTGGGACCCAGCTCCTGTCTAGGGTGTTCTTTGGGTTTAATTCCCGGCTCCACCCCTCCTGACCATGCAGCCTCTGCCTTGGTTTCCCCGTCTGCACACCGGGGTGGAGGCAGACGCGTGTGTGACCCTGGGAGGCGTGCCCGGACATCCCCTGGCACCAGGCCACACTGCACGTCAGGCCTCTCTCAGATCTGTGGACATCTGGGCCTGGAAAGTTCAGACTAGTTCGGGGCACAGCTATGGCCGCCTCCTGAGGCTGCCTTGGGTCCCGTTCCTCCCGTCTCCAGCTTGGCAAGCTGCAAACACGATGTTGGGGAGAGGGGCTGGGGCCCTGTGGGAGGCTCTGCAGGCATGTGGGGCCCCAGCTGGCCTTCCACGCTGCCACCCAGGCATGGGCTCCAGCGCCCTCGTCGCTGCAGCACCTGCCGCGACCTGAGCACCTGGGGCTCCAGGGTGGCTTGGGCTCTGCTCAGGGGTCTGTAGCACCCACATCACCGTCCCGCAGGGGCGCATCTGGAGAGGAGTCTTTGGAGTCAGCGGGTGGGCCCTGGCTTCAGGTGGAGCTGGGCCCGGATCGCAGCAGCGTGCTCAGACACGGAGCTTCTCCGTCCCCTGGCCCCGCATCCCCCGGGCTGAGATGAGAGCGTGCGGTGTCTGCCCCGCGCAGGGCCCGTGGTCCACGATGGCACAGCAGCACGTACGGGGCTTGTGGCAGAGCACAGAAGGGACAGGGCCGTGGCGTCCCTGCTGCTGGCCGTGTGGCCACGAGTAGCCGGTGTGTTGGAGGCTGCACTGGCCTGAGGAGACGCAGCCCCTGGGGTCTCCAGCTCCTTGCACCCACTTCTCCCAGAACCGTGATGTGATGGGCGTCACGTCGGGCCAGCTGGGCCCTTTTCCCAAGGGCTAGGGTGGTGGCGGGTACACAGGTGTGATGCCTGGACACGGCATCCTGTCTGGGGGCGTGACCCTTGGCCAAGGCCTCGGAGAAGGGCAACCATCAGACCGTGAGGGGGGCTCAGGGGGAGGGATGGCCCTTTTGATGCACCTACAAGGCAGCAAAGGTGCTGTTGGTGGGGCGTCGCAGGGAAGCCGCTCACCCCCCTCCCCTCCTTCCATGCTGCTGACAGCAGGCAAGTCTGGGGGGGTAGGGGGAGCAGCTCCCCTGGCCCCACCCACCCTTGCCAGGAGCCCCCCGCCCCCATGTCCCCGGGGGCAGGGTCACCCTGGGTGAGAGCTGCACGGTCCCTATTTTACAGATGGGGACACTGCCTCCCAGAGACGCAGCAGGTTGCCCTGCCAGCGCGGGAGGGGTCGGGCCAGGCAGGCTGTGTGTAGCTGGGAGGTCAGGGCAGCGGGTGAGGCTGCTGGGCAGGCCCGAGCCCGTCTGACTGGATCCCACGTGGGGTACAGGCCGCCCCTCTGGCTCCGGGCCGTCCCGGGGCCTCCCCAGGACCGGGCTCGGCACAGCGCCTCCTGAGCAGGGCCTGGGGTGCCTGGGCCTCCGCGCTGACCGGCTCCCGCCCGCAGGCGCTGTTCGTGCTCTTCGTCCTGGCCTACATCCACATCGTCTTCTCACGCTCGCCCATCAACTGCCTGGAGCACGTGCGGGACAAGTGGCCCCGGGAGGGCATCCTGCGTGTGGAGGTCCAGCACAACTCGAGCCGCGCGCCCGTCTTCCTGCAGTTCTGTGACGGCGGCCGTCGCGGCAGCTTCCCCGGCCTGGCCGTGGAGCCGGGCAGCCCCGAGCCGGAGGAGGAGGAAGAGGAGGAGCTGGCCGTGGACATGTTCGGGAACACCTCCATCAAGGTGAGCGGCACCCGGCCGGGCCCCTGGCTCGACCGGGCCTGCTGGTCTTGGGGCGGGGACTATGGCGGGCAGGGTCAGGGCCTTGGGCCGTTTCCCAGCCCTTCCTGGAAAAGGATTGGCCCCTTTGTGGGGACGCTTGCTAGGAGCTTAAAGCCGGTCTTGCCTGTCCTAGACAGGTGGCCGCCTGTGGGGTGGGGAATGCCCTGTCACCAGAGACGTGCAGGTGGCCGCCAGCATGGGCAGGGGTCAGGCGGATGTGCGGCGCCCACGGTCTGCAGGGAAGGACTTGCTCAAGCAGCGAGAGGCTGGGGGGTCCCGTGGTTGGTGCAGACCCTTCCCTAGAGATGGCCACTCAGGAGCATGGGGTTAGGGTGGAGCATTTGGGTGTAAGGAGTGGGGTGTAAGGAGCTGGGTGGAGGGTGTCCCCGTGGAGGCTGGAGGTCACAGCTGCGGGGGGTGGAGTGCGGGGCCCTGCAGTCAGCTGACCCCTTCCTCTCGGCACTCCGCAGTTCGAGCTGGACATTGAGCCCAAGGTGTTGAAGCCACCGGGCGGTGCCGAGGCCCCGAATGACAGCCAGGAGCTCCCCTTCCCAGAGACGCCTACAAAAGGTACACACCGCAGGCACCCGGCCCGCACATTCAGGGAAGCGGGTGACCCTCCATCTGGAGGTTGTGAGTTCGAGTCTTGTTCTTCGTTTCTACTTTTTAAAGGTTTTATTTGTGTACGTGTGTGTCTGTACAGTGTACACGTTCCAGGGAGTGAGCAGAGCGTGTGCACAAGTGGGGGGCGGGGCAGAGGGAGAGAGAAAGACTCCCTGCTGAGCACAGAGCTGGACAGGACGCAGGGCTCCATCCCAGCACCCCGAGGTCATGACTTGGTTGAAGTCAGACACCCAGTGAGCCACCCAGGCGCCCCTGGGCAGAGAGATTTCTTAAAAATCTTAAAAAACAAAAACAAACAAAAATCTTAAAAAACAAAAAAAATACACGTTTCCTGGGCTGAACAGGTGTGTGCAGCAGGTCACATCGGGGTCACGACCTGGGGCCACACCCCAGTGCAGAGGGCCCAAGGGTCTGAGTGGCCATCGGTGCTGACCTGGGAGAATGGCCACTCTGCCTCAGTTTCCCCATCTATCAGCACATGGGGCCGTGACAGATGCCCTGGAGCCCCCAGTAACTGGTTTCCTTCTCTGGGAGCCTCATCTGTGAGAGGCGGGCAGGGGTCACGGGGGCTCTGAAAGTCCCGTGCGGTTTGTGTGATGCAGGTGCTCCACCAGCCTCCCCAAGCCCTGAGCTGTGGGTGGGCCCTGCCTCTCCCCTCACTCCCCGGAGCCACCAGGAGTGCTCACCCAGCCCCTGCGGGAACAGGGCTAGGCCAGGGCTCTGAGCCTCACGGGGCTTGTCCCCACAGTATGGCCCCAGGACGAGTATGTGGTGGAGTACTCCCTGGAGTATGGCTTCCTACGGCTGTCACAGGCCACGCGGCAGCGGCTCAGCATCCCCGTCATGGTGGTCACCCTGGGTGAGTGTCCCTCAGAGCGAGGCCGTGGGGCTCTCCGGGGTCTCAGGGTCTCCTGATAGGCTGCCTGGGGGTAGGTAGCCCGGAAGCACTGGGGTCCCAGGTCTGGGGGCTGTGTCTGCTCTCCCAGCTGCAGAAGCTTCCTCTCTCCTCGGCATCCTGGGGCGAGAGGGTCCCAGTGCTGCTTGGGTGGGGGCCCTGGCCACACACCCACTCTGTCATTTGCCCGCCCACAGACCCCTCCCGGGACCAGTGCTTCGGGGACCGCTTCAGCCGCCTGCTGCTGGCCGAGTTCCTGGGCTACGACGACATTCTCATGTCCAGCGTCAAGGGCCTGGCGGAGAACGAGGAGAACAAGGGTTCGGCGGGCCCCAGCACCAGGTGGGGGCTGGGCGCAGGGCAGCGGCTGGGCAGGCGCTCATGGCCTCCCCCCTACCTCCGAGCAGGCTTCCTGCGCAACGTGGTGTCCGGTGAGCACTACCGTTTCGTGAGCATGTGGATGGCACGCACGTCCTACCTGGCCGCCTTTGTCATCATGGTCATCTTTGTGAGTGCTGCGGGGACAGGCGGGCGGGGGCGGGGTGCGGGGTTCGTCGGTCCCGCCCTGAGGCAATCCTGCGGCCCTCGCTTGCAGACCCTCAGCGTTTCCATGCTGCTCAGATACTCCCACCACCAGATTTTTGTCTTCATTGGTGAGTGTCCCTGCTGGCCCGTCAGCCGGGTGGGAGGGGTGGGCTCAGCCCCAGGCCCGGGAGGCCCCCTGCCCACCCCCACCCAGCCGCCGGGCACCTCACCCGGTCTGCCCGCCCGCCGCTCTCTGCCCGCAGTGGACCTGCTGCAGATGCTGGAGATGAATATGGCCATCGCCTTCCCCGCGGCGCCCCTGCTCACTGTCATCCTGGCCCTAGTAGGTGAGGACGCCCCCCCCTGCCCCCGCCCCCCCCCAGGGACCTGCCCGCCCCTGCCCCGCCCCTGGCGGACCCGCCCAGCCAACCCCTCCTCCCCGCAGGGATGGAGGCCATCATGTCGGAGTTCTTCAACGACACCACCACGGCCTTCTACATCATCCTCATCGTCTGGCTGGCCGACCAGTACGATGCCATTTGCTGCCACACGAACACCAGCAAGAGGCACTGGCTGCGGTGAGCACCAGGGTCCGTGGGGGTCTGGGGCGGGGGCATTGGGTGGCGCCTCACTGTCCTCCCTGCAGGTTCTTCTACTTGTACCATTTCGCCTTCTACGCCTACCACTACCGCTTCAACGGGCAGTACAGCAGCCTGGCCCTGGTCACCTCCTGGCTCTTCATCCAGGTGAGGGGACCGTGCACCTGGGGCCCGGCCTGTTGAGGGTTCTGTGGAAGTGGGGTTCTGGCTCTGGGTGCTGGCCTGACTCAGAGCCCACCCCCAACTCCTCCAGCATTCCATGATCTACTTTTTCCACCACTACGAGCTGCCTGCCATTCTGCAGCAGATCCGAATCCAGGAGATGCTGCTACAGACCCCGCCACTGGGCCCCGGGGCCCCCACAGCGCTTCCGGATGACCTGAACAACAATGGGGGTGCCCCAGCCGCCATCCCCGACCCTGCTGGCCAGCCCCCCGCCCTGGGCCCTGGCTTGTCGGGCACTGGTGGGGGCCCTGGGCCTGTGGCTGAGGCACCCAGCTCTCTGGTGGCTGCGGCGGCTTCAGTGGCGGCGGCAGCCAGCGGTGACCTGGGCTGGATGGCAGAGACGGCCGCCATGATCACAGACGCCTCCTTCCTGTCTGGCCTCAGTGCCTCCCTCCTGGAGCGGCGGCCCGCTGGTCCGCTGAGCCCTGGTGGGGGGTTGCCCCGAGCCCCCCAGGACAGTGCCCCCTCCAGCAACTCCCTGGCGCATGACACAGCGCTCCCAGCCGCCGGGGTGAGTGGGCCCAGTCCTGCACCCACAACCCCAGTGGACCCACCCCCAGAGGTCGGTTCCTGAGCCTTGGGCAGCTGACCACCCCGTCCCTGGCCATGCAGGCCCACTGGGTGTGACCCGGCTGGAGCCCTCGGGTGTCGGGGAGGCTGTCCGGTGGTTCTAGGGACTGGCCAGCGCCTTGGGTGGTGTCGGGGTCCATCAGGTTGGCCCAGAGGAGGGTTCCTCTTCCCCTATGTGGGGCCTGCCCGAGGCCTGTCCCTGCTGTTAGTGGTGGGCCCCCTCAGCCAGCGAATCGAATCGAGGCAGGTCAGAGGGGGGGGTGGGGACTCCATGGAAGGTTCTGGAGAGGGCTGGTGAACCGTGTGGAGTGAGCTGTCCCTTGGCAGCAGAGCCGGACAAGTCTCTACTAAGGTGAACGCCGGTGGGGGCCACCCTCGCTGTCCCGGCCCGCTCGGCTGGTGCTCCATCATGCTCAGTGCCTTTTCCACGGCCCCTGACCCCCGGTGTGTGTACCAGGGCTGGGGTCCCGGGAGGGCAAAGTCCACGCCTTGGGCTTGGGGATGCGGTGGCCGGGCGTGGGGGTCCAGCCCTGCTGGGGTGGGAGTGGGACAGGGCTGGTGGCCAAACTAAATTACTCGGTGAGGAATGCAGAAGAGCGCTCATTCCATTCTATTTAATTGCAGTGTACAAAATTGTGTTTGTATATAGAATAAACTGTTGACAGCGACGGGGCAGCGTCCGAGCGCCGGGCAGGGAGCGGCCCGGGGTGGGTCACCGCGCCGCTTCTGGTGCCTCGGAGCCGGCGTGCAGCGGGGGCGGGTCGCGGGGGTCGCGGGGTCCGTCCCCCAGCTGGGCCAGCAGCTGTCCCCGCCGCACCAGGGCCTGGCGGAGGCGCTCCTGCGCGTCCTCGATGCGCTGCCGCAGCTCCTCCAGCTCGCCGGGCCGCGGAGGGCCCGAGGGCGGCGCAGCCGGCAGGCGGCCGTTGGAGCAGAGCCACACGGGGCCCTCCGGCGGCCCAGCCTGCGCGTCCGGCGCCGCGGCGGCCACCGTGGGCTCCAGTAGGAACCGCACGCGCCGCTCCTTCGCCGTGGCCCGGCGCGCCCGCATCCAGCTCCCCGGGCCCGCAGGCGCCGCCAGGGTGTCCTGCCGCTCCTCCGCCCTGCGGATGTTGGGGTACGGGCTGGTCGTTCTCCGGGGTGGGGGTCCCCTTGTGGGGAGGGCCAGCATGGGGGCTGCCGGCAGAGCTGTGGGGTGGGAGGGGGCCCCAGGGCCTTTACCTCGGCTTCGGCTCCGGCTCCTCCTGGCCTTCCGGCGGCTCCATGTTCAGGGCGCGGTGGATTCTCTACACGCGCAGACAGAGGCCGTGGGGTCACGGTCGCCGCCCCCCCCCCCACCTGCGCGTTCGGCCCCTCACCTGGCTCGTGTGCAGCCAGTACTGCAGCTTGTTGCCCCTCCGGATGCGCGGGAGCACCAGGCGGTAGAAGACGTGCTCGCCCAGAGAGCTGAGCACGGCGCTGCCCAGCCCCAGGCACAGCAGCACGAAGAGTCCGGAGAAGTGGTAGATGCCCACCTGCAGCGTCTGGGGGCACACGTGGGCACGAGCCCTTCGCGGGGAGCCCCGGCTGGGGGCACACTGGGCAGAGGGGGGCCTGCGGCCGCCGAGTAATTGGGAGCCAGGAGTCCCCGAGACAACGCGGGAGCTGGGCTTCGGTGGGTGAATAGGAGTGCGCTCGCTCGGCTCGGCACAGAGCACCTCGGCCGAGGCCCGCGCAGCCTCGGGGCCCCCAGGCCCGTCCCGCCCCGGCCCTCGCCCCGGCGCCCCCACCTCTGTCACGGCGAGGACGCGCTTCCCACAAGGCACCATCTTGTACCACTTGTCGTGCAGCAAGTCGATGAAACCGGAGGACTTGTAGCGGCTGATGAACTCGGACAGGTTGGAGGTGAGTGGCGAGTTCTGAGGGAGTCCGATGCCGTAGCCTGGGGGCCAGGGTTGGGTCAGGACACTGCGCCAGAGGAGCCTCCGCAGGGCCCCTGGTCCCGGGACCCTCACCCTCCATGGCGAAAGGCTTGCCCACGGTCAGCAGTTTACAGTCCGCGTCGATGGAGACTTCGTAGTCGAGGAGCGACTTGTCCATGATGAAGGCGTTGAGCTTGGGGGGGTCGCTCCTGCGGGGGATCGGGCAGCGGGATGAGCGGCCGCGCCCCGTAGACCCCGCCCCCGGCCCTGGCCGGCCCCGCCCCCCAGCTCCCGCCCCGTGCGAACGCTCCGCCCCCGGCGTCCCGCCCCCGCGCAAGGCTCCGCCCTGGGCCCCGCCCCCGCACAAGGCTCCGCCCTGGGCCCCGCCCCCGCACAAGGCTCCGCCCTGGGCCCCGCCCCCGCACAGGGCCCCGCCCACCGGGCTCACGTGAGCATGGCGACGCCGCGGGGCGTGGTGGGCGCGCTGTGGCGCCGCATGCGCGCGTGCAGGTCGGGGAAGCTCTTCTTGATGTAGGCCTCGGCGCTGCTCTCCCACACGGTGCCCACGCGGAAGCCCTGGGTCGGGTGGTGCAGCTGCGGGGGCGGCTGGTCAGCGGGGGCGCTCGGCCCGGCCCCGGCCCCCGGCCCCCGCGCCCTGCTCCGCGCACCCGCCCCGCCCCCCCCCCCCCCCCCCCCGGGATTGCCCCGGCGAGCCAGCCGCTGTTCTAGGTCCAGCCCGGCCGCGACCCCGGGCCCCGCCCCCCGGGCCCCACGGAGCCCTCCCGAGCCGGCCGCCACCCCTGCCGCCCGCGTCCTCGCCCCGGCCGCCGCGCCCTCGGAACGCCAGGCCCCCGCCGGACGGAGCCTCAAGCAGGACCGTCTAGAACCTTCCGAGGAGGGGACCCCGGACGCGCGCTGTCGTCGGGCTCAGCACTCGGAGCTCATTAACCAGCTCGGGTGGCCACGTGGGGGTGGCGGGCGCCCGAGCCCGCGCTGGCTGTGGCCTGGGTGACGCGCCCTGGGGTCGCTCCTGCACGAAGTTCGCAGCCGCGCTGCTGCGGAGACGCAAGCGGGGAGGACCGCTCGCTGCGGGGTCTGTGGTCAGGACCCACGTCCAAACTCGCGGGTGGGGGGGCAGCTGGGAAAGGGGACCCTGGTGGCGGGAAGGCGTCCAGGGCGCCCAGGGCCACATGCCCGGCAGTCCGGCGGCTGGGGCGGGGATTTGGAGCGGGACAGTGGGTTCGTTCGCGGTTCTCCTTGCTCCCTGCTCAGGAATACTGAAAGTGTTTGCTTAAATAAGAGAAACCGGGAGCCTGGGGGCCACCTCTGCTGTGCCCACTGCCCTCGGGGGCTCCGGGTGGGCAGGCGGGGACGTTCTGTCTCGGTATAGACACCCTGCGGGTGCACCTGCCTGTCCCCTCCTCACCCTCCCCTCCTCCACGCTGCCTGTGCCCCGGGCCTTTGCACCTGCTGTGCCTTCTCTGCCAGCGTCCCTCCGTGATGTCTACATAGAGGTCCCTCGAATGTCACCCCCCCAGGAATTCCCACTTGAGAAGCCGGCCCCCCCGGGCTCCCTGTTATTTTCTCCCTGGCACCCAGTAGCCATCTCACACCCCACCTGGTCGGCTTCTCTAGATCCCTGACGCCTCCCCCTGCGGTTTGGGGATCAGCACCCGTTTGGCCCCAGCTGGGCCCCTGGCACCTGGCACACGCGCTCCAGGCGCTCAGTGTTTCCGGGAGCAGGAGGCCGCACACGGCGGCGTCTTGGGAAGGGAGCTGGGGCGGTGGGTGACCCCCCGGCTGGGAACCCCGGGCCCCGCAGCTGCCCACCTTGGGGTCATGGATTCCCGACAGTTCCAGGAAAGTCTTGTCCCCGACCATGACGGCGGCCAGGTTGGCCGTGTAGCTGGACAGCACCAGCAGGCAGAAGATGGCCCAGAGGTTCATGAGGAGGCGCCCCGTGGGGCACTTGGGCGTCTTGCTGGACACCGTGCGCCCGAAGAGGATGGCGTAGCAGAGGTTGAGGGCCGAAGAGTAGGAGAACACGGTGGCGCGGTTCCGGCCGCGGGGCGTGAGGCCGTAGGGGCTGCGCCACTCGTACAGCGTGAGGAAGAGCGCCGTGAGGTGCAGCGCCGCGAACACGCCCAGCCACATGGACCAGTGCAGCGGCCACGTGAAGGCGCCGATGGGCGACGCCGTGTCCCGGGCCCGCACCATGATGCCCAGGCTGGTGGAGAAGAAGGGGCTGCTGAAGTCCAGCACCTGGGAGCGGGCCGAGTTGATGCTGAAGCTGGTGACCGCCATGTGGGCCCTGCCGGCCAGCAGGTCGCCCACCAGGCCCGTCCAGCGGCCGTCGCGCAGGGCCCCGTACTTGCCGTCGCCCACGATGTACAGCTCGAAGTCGAACGGCGTGTCCTCCGCCAGGCGCTCCAGCAGGTCGATGCAGTAGCCGTAGCAGCACTTGCGCAGCGCGCGCGGCGCCGAGCCGTTGGCCAGCGCGGCGAACAGCGCGTCCAGGGCGGCCGAGTCGTTGGTGCCCGGGGCCAGGCACAGCTGCCCGGCGGGGCACTGTCCGTCCTCATCCGGCTCCCGCGCGAACACGAACGGATGCTCCACCAGCGTCACCACGCGCAGCTTGGGCCGGGCCCGGGCCCCCGGGGACGGCGGGGGCTGCGCGGCCGCGCCCCCCGGCTCCGGCTCCAGGCGCCCGGCCCGCCAGCTGCCCACCGTGGCCCAGGCGGGGGCACCCAGCGGGTCCCGGCGCAGACTCCACACGCGGAAGCGCCGGGACACGTGCACCTGCGAGGAGCCGCTCACCCACACCGGCCCCGTGCGGCCCTCAAAGGACGTGTTGGCCAGGAACCTGGGGGGCAGGGGGCAAAGGTCAGGGGGCGGGGAGGAGCCCTGGGCAAGCCCTCCACTCTCAGCCCCGCCAGCGGGGTGCGTTAGGGCTCCGCCGGGCCGCTCCCGCCAGCCTCCCCGTCCCCTTGCCCTGCCCATCGTGTTGCTCCCGAAGCCCCGTCCCCCGAGTCCCCAGCTCCGGCTCTGCTTCCACCTCAGGGACACAACCCGCTCTCCGGTATACAGCAAGTGCCCAATAACGGTACCCGTCTGGACTCGGAGGCAGGTGTGAGTCTACGGGACGCTCACCGGGCCAGGAGGCGGCCTGGGGACTCGGGCCCAGCCGGCTGCGGGTCGTGGCAGTTGCCCGACATGGACAGGAGGCTGCGCTCCGGCTCCGCACGGGCTGCGCTGCTCAGGGCTCGCGCCACCAACTCCACGGCGTCGTGGACGGCGGCCTCCAGCGGGGGGCGCGCCACCTCGCCCAGTGCCAGCAGCCCTGGGGGCAGCCCTCAGTGGGCAGCACCTCGGCGCTCAGCGGGGTGCCCAGCAGCCAGCGGGGCCCGGGGGGCGCGGCCTGCAGCACCCGCCAGGCGCGGGCCAGGGGGCAGCCCAGGAGCACGGCCGTGGGGGCCGGGGCCGCGCCGCCGGGTGGGGCCCCCAGGGGGGCCAGGCGGGCCTGCAGCCCCGCGTCACCCGCGTCTGGCCGACTCAGGTCCAGCACCAGCTCTGGGGCCCGGCCGGCGCGGGCTGTCCAGAGCGCCACCAGGCCGCCGGGGTCCCGCACGCGGCACAGCGCCAGGCTGACGGCGTCCGAGGCGTGTGCGTGCAGCACGGCCACCAGCACATCCAGCAGCGTCTCCAGGGGGCTGGCCCAGTCCAGCTGCAGGTGGAACGGGTTCTGGTAACGGGGTGGGCACAGTTAGGGC